AGTCCGCGCGCAGCCCCCCGCGCTGATCCCCCCCCGCCCCTCCCCAATCTCCCTCCAGCGCAAGCACGTTAAGGAATGATGAAAAAAAATAATTCTGCAAAAAGGGTGAGTGGAATTGGTTCTTCTTTGGGGTACGGTGGGGTGGGGGAGGCTCCCGGATGTTTTGGGGAGGGGGGCTTGTCTTTTCATTTCCAGTTGTTTGCTTTGCGTCTGCTCCCCCGCTGCCCTTACCTTGCTAAAAAAAACCAAAACCAAAACCAACCCCAAAACCCCAACCGGATCAAAACAAAACCAAACCCAGCACCCGTCTCTCCTTCTCTCCTACTGCTCAGCACCTCTCCTTCCTCTTGAATTCCCCAGGAGATACTATTCGCCGTTTAGCACAGGCAGTTTTCATTTTTGATCGCAAGGAAATGATAAAATACGGAGACACCATCTATCTGTCGCTCTGTGTCTGCTCTGTGCCGTATGTGCGTGTCTGCTGTGCCCAGAGATCTTACTGCTGTCTGTGAAGAAATCTTAAATATAAACCCATACATAGATTTCACCTCTAGGATTAATTGTTCATAAAAGGCTCAAAAAATGCAATTTTCACTGCAGTAAAAAATCAGCTAGTTTAAATTCTCCCCAACACCCTCCTGTTCCTCTTTCCACGGCCAAATGCATGTTGTATGAGGCCAATAACAGCCTTTCTTATATAATGCACAGAGTGAAACCCTGCCTGCAATTTTTGCATTGTCCCCTCGGTATTATTGGTTTTGCTTCATGTCTGCAGCAGAAAAATCTATGTAGAGTGAATCAAGCAAAGTACCTCGGTCCCGGCTTCGGCGGCGAGAGGGGCCGGAGGGAGGGGGAGGCGAAAGTTGGGCAAAGAGGGAGGGGGGGGAGAAGAGGAGTGTAAAACCAAGAATAATACCATTTTCCCCCATTTTCTTCCCTCTTTCTTTGTGTTAGGGGCAACAGGATGGAAACCAGCAATCTGTGCAGCCAGAGAAGGTCGGCTGGGTGCGGAAATTTTGCGGGAAAGGCATTTTTAGAGAAATCTGGAAAAACCGTTATGTGGTTTTGAAGGGAGATCAGCTTTACATCTCGGAGAAGGAGGTAGGATCGGTTTCATTTTCCTTTCCCATCCCCCTTTCCTCCCTTTTGCATATGAAAAGCAAATGCCGAGCAGCCCCAGCCTTTCCCCATCGCCCCTCCATCGCCAGCCTGGCTTGAGGAGGTTTCTCGGGGGGCTTCTCTTCTCCCAGAGTCAGCACCGGCAAAACCTGGCCTGGGTTGATGTGTCAGCTCCAACAGCGACTCTCCCAGACGGCTCTGGCTGGGAGACATTTTTCCCAGCGCTGGACACATGAAAGGATTCACTTAGCGAGAGTTAAATCCCTCATCCTTCTTTCCGCCGCGGTGAAACGGCAATGCCAGCTTCCTTCTGTGCCTGTCCTCTGTCATTAAGTTCGACAGTGGTCTTGTTCCCAGCTGCTGCACTGCTCTGTTTGGAAATAACTGTGGTCTCCCTTATCTCTTGTATTTTTTTTTTTCCCCCTGAACCACACACCGCAAGAAAACGGGGAAATTTAACCACGGATTCAACACCTCGTTGAAAAACGTGTCCCCTCTCCTCCCCCTCGTCTCCGCTCAACATGGGCTGGGGTTTGGGGTTTAATGTAGTGTTTACTTAAGATTTAATTGGATGTGACTATCAGGCTGAGCGTTGCAGGCTGGGATCTGGCTGTCCTTGCACAGCCTCCCCCCCTTTAGTTTTTGTCTTGATAAATTCATCAAGAAGAAATCCCCAGGCAACAGCACTCCTTTAAAAACTCATCGCTAGCACTAGTGAGAGTTGTGCCCCCAAGACAAGGGACGGCGGGTGTTTGGAGGCAGGCTGGTGTTAGGACAGGGCATTTGGGGTAAAAACACGGATCTGGGTGGAGCTTATTCTCCAACGGGCATCGTGGTTCAGATGCGTGGCTACCTGGCCCAGCTTTATCAGTTCAGGATCTGGAGAGATAATAGGGTCCAGAGCGCCAAGCATAATTTGATTTAGAGGCTAATTGAATCATGGGGCATGGCAAAGTGCAGATGGATCAGGGGTTATTAGAACACAGAAATAGCCTAAAAGCAGACCGAAAGCTCAGGTTGCACTTAGCTATGTGCTGGCATTTCACAGCTCACTCCCATCTGTCTCTTGGCTGCTCCGGAACCAGAGTTCAGGTACAGAGACATAATAAGAAGAAGATTAGAGACCATAGACCACACTAGTGGTAACGAGACACTAAACCTATGATGAATCTATAGATACATTTATGGATGGGGAAAGTCAGATGGAAAGATGGACACGAGAGGTACACAGCGAGTGGTACAAATCTCCTTTGATTTGTGGTTGTTCCAAATTTCCCAGTACTCATGCAGACCGTATAGCGTGTATTTCTCAAGAGCAGGCCCGCTCGTCTTGCATGACTCTTACAAGCAGCTCACGTACCTCTGGGGCCACAGATCAGAGTTTAGAAACTGCTAGACAGACAGATTCCATGGCTGGAAGGATTTTACCTGCTGCCTCCTGTTCTACCAAGCTGGGTCAATGGTTCTTCTGTACTGGGGTCCCGATTCAAGGCAGCACTGAAGCACGTGCTTGAGCAGAAAGACATGCTCAAGCCCAGTTTGAACTGGAGCTTGTATTTTTTGAGCCAGGACCTGGAAGTGAAGTAACTGTGAAGTTACTGTCGGCTGTGCCGATGCAGTTGGAACTGCTGGGAAGGCATTGGGAATAGGCTGGACTCAGCGGCTCTGTAATGGTAATCTGCAGACTGGGCAGATGCTTAACAGCGTTAGCAGGATGCTGTGTGGTCCTTCAAGAGGCGTGAAGGCGCAGTATCAGACTGAAAACTGCTGTAATTCCCAGCTGGGTTAGCAGGGAGTTGTGTATGTGGTTTTAGAGACAGACACGGGAACTTTTCAGGGTCCCTTTCATCACCATTCGGTGGGGAAGGAATCATATGGATCGGTAGAGGGAGAAACTTGGTCCCGCTGAAGCAAAGGCTAGTTCTGAACCAGGAGTGTTTGTTTCAGGGAGCATGCGTGTATTCTTTTATGGAGAAAAAAAAACCCTAGTGCATGTGCTTCTGAAGCAGCACTGTGGCTCTACGTGTACGAATACGTGTGTGAAAGACCATAAATAACATGCAGCAGTGACTGCCTATGTCTTTATATGGAAGAATCTGTGGCTGAGTAGAAATGTGGTTACAGAGGTAACATCTGGCCGCGTGCATGTGCACTGAAGTGACTCTGTGTGCCTGCGGGAATGAAGAGTACGCCTGTGTCACCGCGTCCGGCATCTCCGGGAATCTCAACATACGAGGTGGCTTCAGCTGTCTGTCTGCGTGAGCACGCGTGCATGTGCGTGCAGGGATGGAGGGCACGTGTTGGGTGTGCCCGCCTGTCGCTCGTGTGTTTCCAAGACACTCTGTTCAAAGACAGACGGGTCTTTTAATCTTTATTCCTTAGCAAAGCCAGGCCTTCACATACCAAGATCTGAGATCTGCCCTGGGAAGCCCGTAGCCAGCTCTCCCTCCTGCCCCTAGCTCATAGCATGTGTTTCAGAGCTCTGCTCCCGGAGCACGAGGATCCCTTTGCACACTCGTTTTCCTGGCAGCAGGTGCCTGCAGCTCCTGCAAATAGCTTAATAAATTGGGATTTGTCAAGCAGAACAGGATGGAGTTTCTTTTGGTTTTTGGTTTTTTTCACACATCAGATTATGCCCAGTGGAGAAAATGGAGCCACTGCTGGGTTGTGCTGATGAGTTGTGTGAGAGTCTCTTCACTGCTCTCCACTTGTAAATCCCTGCCACTGCCGGTGTGGATGATGGGGCAGGCACTGGATGCAGCCAGAGAGAGAATTAAACAGTGGAGACGTGAATAGAAAACTCTAGTGGAAACGGCCACTAGACAGGTTGAATCACAGCCCGATTTCTGCCGTGATAGGAGATGAGACTCAATTGTCTGTTTCCGCAAAAGATCAAAGCCCTCCTCTGCTATAAATTATTGTTGCTCCATCAAAGCCATCGGAGCAATGTGGATTTGGTGGATGGAGCTTACAAGTTAACTCTCGTATTAACCTTGGTGTTTCTTGTCAGCTCCTCTTAAGCTCAGCGGCCACTCTAGAACAGAAGGCCAGTGGTTTAGCGGGTAAAGCAGGACTCCCGGCTTCCCCCGGTCAGCTCAGAGCACCGCAGGGGTTAAATCCTATCCTCAGTGCTGCCACGCACTCACTAAATGAATTCAAACCAGACATTTATTTACTTTTGCCTGAATTTCTCCATCTGGAAAGCAGGGCTAATAATAGTCATCTCCCCAAGGCACAAGGTGCCTAGGAAGGGGGAATTGTATATCACGCACGGTGGGATCCCTTGGGAAAGACGTCGGCTCAGGGCAGGTAGTGATGTTGCACGAAGACAACGCAGAGCAGTGAAACCGCTCAGAGCTGAGCACTGGTCTGATATCCGGAAGGGCTGAACAAGTAAGTTTCCAAAAAGCTAACTCCCACAGGCAGTCACACTACCAAAAATCCCATCAATATCCACATTGATTCTTGCTGGGAATCTGTGTGCTTTTTCAGTTACCTACCTAGGACCTGGCCTTGCAGGTGAGGGACCAGCCCTGATTTATTTATTTTTGTTAGGAGATGGAAGCCTGGGCTTTCTTCCTGGCAGAAGCCAGGTCTGTAAGGAGAGGAAATGTATTCTATCAGACCAGCTGATATACCTGGAAAATGCAAATGGGGCTTCTGAGTTCTGCTCTGCAAAACCTGCTCTAACGCCTAGAACCTTTTGCTCTTCCAAAATGCACCAAAATGGTAGCTGAGGCTTACGGACCTTGTTCAGGCAGGGGCTCTGAGCCTGCACAGCGATCTGTGCCCCGGCTGCAAGCCGAACTCTGTGAACTTATGCAAAAAAACCCTCCTTCATTATGTAGCATTTGGTCATCCGCCAAAATAAGCATTCAGGGCAGAAACACGCAAGACAAGATGTGCTGAAGTGAGCTGAGCTCTGTTAACAGAACACCTTCTTAGTATCATTTTTGCATTCTTTCCCCTTGCTCTCCTCCACACCAGTTCCTTCCCCCCCTGCAAATTTCTGGTAATTGTTCTCTTGTTTCTAGCACAGCTTTGTTATTGCTTTGCACTTGGGAATAGCGGTCGGACTAACACAGACACAGCTGGGCTCCTACCACTTCCTGTCAGGAAGCCCAGGGCTGTCCAGACAGCATGAACGGACTCTGTGATGACGAGATGTTAATGAGGAAACGCTTCTCGGGGCTTCCTTAAGCCTTTTCTTGTTTGCTACCAAAAGCATTGACTCAATTAGCACAAGAGCACTTGAAAAGTAGTCTGTTCTTGCTCATTTGTTACAGCACCATCACACACTGCACAACTCTGCCTGGAAGTGGTGTGCGCGTGTGTGTACACTTTCGAAGTAGTGTCTAGAGATCACATACGTGGTTCTTGCGCATGATGGAGCCTGCAAAGTACTCGTGTTTCTGTGCAGGTGCTGTTCACACGCTTGGTACCGTGACAACGCTTCCCGGTGTGTGTTTGGCCTTGGTGAACACTGTTGTGCACGGGCTGGCCATGTTTTCTGACTCTGCGTCATGTCTGCGGTTGGTAGGTGAGGAAAGTGTGTTGGTGTCCATTGCGTTCAACGTGGCACAAGGTGTTAAACAGAGCTGTGTGATTACATACGGGCTCATGGACAGCTGCAGCACTAAGCATCAGTCTGGTGTGTAAACCCTTGGCTTCTGGCTACACAAGAATAGTCTGTGACTGCCCAGCTGGAACCTGCTACCCCTTCCATACCTCTCCTGCTCTTGCTCTTTTAAACTGTCCTTTTCCCTTTCACCTTCCTTCTCCTGCTCAGCCAAGCTCCGTTCTACACAAGTTTCAGCAAAGTGCCTTTTCTGTCCCAATGGCACCGTTCTGCACAGAGAGAGGGTCAAAGAACACACACAGCCTGACTCCCTTTTCCAGTGACGGAGGTAGCTGGTGGGATGAGGCAGCACGACCTTGGGATTAGAGTGCAGCACTGGGATGCGGAAGAGCTGTTTCCAGCA